GGGTTATGCACTTATTGATTACTTCCGGTTTGCAGTCGGATGTCTTACTTCACCCGCGCGCCATCTATTAAGTGCTGAATTATGCCGGTACCCCATTTCCATAATTGTTGTCCATGTTAAAATTGCATTGACTCCCGAAATATTTCGCGAAGGGATCATCCAAGCAGGATAAATATTTTTAAATAATTTTTAATATCATTGTTGTCCATGTTAAAATTGCATTGACTCCCGAAATATTTCGCGAAGGGATCATCCAAGCAGGATAAATATTTTTAAATAATTTTTAATATCATTGTTGCATCGATCAGACCGGTCGTCAAGGGTAGCACGGCCGTTGCTAGGGCAGAATTTTCCAAGATGTCGTTGAAATGTTGCTTTAGTAACGTTGTTATGCAAAATAAAGCTTAGTGACATAGCTTATCGTCTTCGCCACGTTGGAAACCCCACGGTAAGAGGTAAATGGGCACATTCCTTACGGCGGTTTCGGAGGAGATACGTGAAATTACACGCGGCCGTTACAGTATTACTATATAGATCCTCACGATGCTGACGATCATCAGCCTATTGTCGGAAAAGTTCAATGGAGAACAATGAATAAGTCCATTTACTGACCTTCGTCTAGCAATAATTTATCATTATGCACAAGTTAGTTTTTTTAATTAACATACAAAATCCTTTACATAAGGTTAACCCTTTCTTATTCTCACGGTCATGCTGCTGTTGGCAGGGGCGCGACTGGCGTCTGTTATACCTACCACTAAGCCGCCACACAACTACGGACGCGTTTGTTTGCGACGGATTCCTAGAAAGCTGATTGACTGAATCACGCGCCGCCATATTGGATTATCTTGATTCCGCCTCGCCAGCCAGGATTAACAATTTTGTGATCGGTGATCCACTAAAAAAACATGAAAGATTCCGCCCAAGCCAACGCGCAGGAACACTGGGGTCGGTTTGTTTGGGACGGACCCGCCTGAATTTGATCCCTTAATTAATCCTGGTTTGCCCAAACAAATACAAAACTCGCCCTCAACAGGTCAACTATCGCTGTGACCTATCGCAGGAAGGTTCATAGCTCCCAACAAGCAGTAATTGGTTGTTAATGGCTTAGCAAGCAGTAATTGGCCGAGCCCACTAATATGCTTACCGTTAGATAACCGTTAACAGAGTAAATCTGCCGAACCTCATGCCGCCATATTGGATCCGCTTGGAACCGACCTTGCCGCCGTGGTCGGATCAGATGAATCGAGTTAAGTGGATCCGACCAAAGAAACGGCTAAGCCATTGGATCCGGATCGTATGACTCACCCAAACAAACGCATCCGCCGGGTCTACGCGAGTCGGTTAACGCCAGATCCGCCCAAAATTAATGCCACGGCCAGACGTATTTGACGTCACGCGGGCGGTAGTTGCGGGGTTTGAACCGTGGCCGCCTAGATGGGCCGGTTGAAGATTAAATGGGTTGGTGAGGAGAGAATGTGCGCAATGGAATAACAGTTGTATGTTGCCGTGAGAGTCATACATATTGCACGACCGTGCGTATAGGGACACGCTTGAAATTATTATAGAATGCGCAGAAGGGTGGGCATAGAGAAAGAAAGGGTAGATGAACAGAAAGGGAGAGAGAGAGGAGGAGAGGAGGGCGAGAGAGGGGGAGAGACGGAGACGGGAGAAGAGGAGAAAGAGAGAGAGAGAGAGAGAGAAAGAGTGCGCGCGAGGGAGAGAGAGAGAGAAGAGAGAGAGAGAGAGAGAGAGAGAAGAGAGAGAGAGAGAGAGAGAGAGAGAGAGAGAGAGAGAGAGAGAGAGAGAGAATAAATAACGGATTGGAAGCGAAGCCATTATGCAATTTAACGAGATTCTTTTCTTTGCTCGCAGGTAATATGAGAGTCATACTGCCAATAGCCATGGCGGTGTTGGCGCTATTCGCGTCAGCGCCCTCTAGCGGCCTGGATATAGATGAGGTGCTGCCATTCCTCACAGACGAATATCTTAATGGTGAGAAATAGCCACATATTATGGTAATGTTATGTGTATATATGAATAAGTTTGTTTTGTATTGTATACTGGAAATATCAAATGCAATGTTATGTCTACAATTGTAACTGTTTTATGGCAATAAAAAAAAAAAAAAAAAAAATATCCACATATGACACGTGCAGCCTTAATTAGTAATTAAGCTAAGTAGTAACTAGTGCAAGAGGAACCAGCTGATAGATCAATCAATTGAAAAATTTATTAAATAATTTTTTCGAACGAAAATTTGCCGATTGTTTGTTAATATTGTTTGTTTGTTTGTCTGTTTTTGCATAACTATATAGGAAATTTATTAATTGATTATCGCATTAATCAATGAATTATATCACTAAGTAATTTGTTGATAAAATAAGAAAGTTAGGGTTAATAAGATAGTTACTAGAATAAATGAATGAATCCCCGACCGATTCACTGTATAATTGATTAATTAATAGATCAATTGATTGATTTAATAATTGCCTCGCTGACATCTATATTGATTGATGTCACAGATTTGTCGTCTGTGTTCACCGGATCACTGCATGCGACGCTGGAGGATGAGTTAGCAGCTGTCAATGCTGAGGTGGCAAGTCTGGAGGAGGGATGTAGGCCCAAGCCCAAACCCAAACCCACACCCAAGCCTGCACCACTGCGCATCACAGCCGGTGTAATTATTCACCAGTATTATTAGCCATCTTATATCATATATATTATTATATATTATTATATTATTATATTATTAGCCATATTATATCATATATTAGCCATATTATATCATATATTAGCCATATTATATCATATATTAGCCATATTATATCATATATTAGCCATATTATATCATTATAGCGGTGTAATTATTAGCCAGTTTAATTATTAACTATTTTTAAAAGTATATTAACTTTATTAACAATTATTATATTTTATTATTAACTTTTTTTTATCGCTACAGTTTTTGTCATTGGTGTCGTTAGCACTGCCGTCACCACCGTCGTCATCGTTATCGTCATCTGTGCCGTCACCACCGTCGTCATCGTTATCGTCACTCGTGTCGTCAGTATTGTCATCATCGTTGTCGCTATTGGTGTCATTATTAGTGTCGTCATCAATGTCCGTCGTTGTTGTCGTCGTCGTTGTCGTCGTCGTTGTAGTCGTCGTTGTATAGTCATCGTTGTCGTCGTCGCTGTCGTCGTCGTTGTCGTCGTCGTTGTATAGTCATCGTTGTCGTCGTCGTTGTCGTCATCGTTGTCGTCGTCGTTGTCGTCGTCGTTCTATAGTCATCGTTGTTGTTGTCGCTGTCGTCGTCGTTGTCGTCGTCGTTGTATAGTCATCGTTGTCGTCATCGTTGTCGTCGTCGCTGTCGTCGTCGTTGTCGTCGTCGTTGTATAGTCATCGTTGTCGTCGTCGTTGTAGTCATCGTTGTTACCTTCCCTCTCTCTCTCTCGTGTAGAAAGACCCGCTGATCTGTCAGAGATGCACGGAGAAGAAGCTGCGACATCAGATCAAGATGTGCGGTAAGCAGAGAGAGAGAGAGAGAGAGAGAGAGAGAGAGAGAGAGAGAGAGAGAGAGAGAGAG